TTCCGATCTCCCCAAAACCCCAAAACCCCAAAACCCCAAGATAGATAAATAGTAGAGTGTTTGATAGTGGAGTAGTTTTCTGATTGTAGATTTAAAGTAAGAATTATAAAATAATTTAAATTTGTAATTTAAATTTGACAACAGCTAAGAACAAAGACTATGATAAATCCTTAGAAGGTTGAAAAATCTAAAATAGCTCAACCCAACATACACATGTTTGCTTCCCCCTCCATAACACCTTCAAACAACTATAAATTGTAAGTAATTGATATTTGATGTGTCTAGGGGCATAAATACGTCTAAAGATATCACAAGTTCTCAAATACATGGGAGAAAAGTAGACTCTCCCTAATTAAGAGTTATGAAAGATTAGATAGAAAGACCTCAACCATCCACGAACATTATGAGTATGCCCAACTAAATCAAGAGGGATGACTTCATCTCACTCTACAACTACTAGAACTAGATAAGAGATCTCAATCACACCAACAAAGAGATCTAAAAGAAGCAATTTGACTTCAATATCAATAAATAAAAAGCAAATGTTACGATTCAATACGACACTTACGATTAAGTGCGATAGCAGCAACATCAATTTCAACAGCAATAGCATTAGTAGTAGCACTAATAGCCACTGAAGTTGCTCGAACCATAGATTAAATAGCACAAACCCTCAAAATCTATTGGGGTGACTTGTAAGAATTTTATGATGATAGTGTTTTTAGAGAAAAGAAGACAGTAGTCTCAGTCAATGCCAAGACATCAACCCTCAGCTTCTATTGTAAATACCCAGGCTTAACCATTAATCAACCTGCATATTTAAAATGCGAAACTAGCCAATTAACTGAGGCCTCAGATATACAACAGCAAGAAAAGAACATAGTAACCTGATAATTATCAAGGATAAGCGAGACATCAAGTAAATTCTGGATAGCAATCAGCTCCATTGAAATCAAGATCAAAGTCCAAGAACAGATAAAAAAGTGTTTAGAATTACCATAATCTAAATAATAAAAATAAGCAATCCTTAATTGGAAATACAGCAAAGGAGATTCTAAATCAAAGCAGCAATTATAATCAAAAGAAAAATCCTAAGAACAACTAGTTCCTCTTCAGCTTCGACAATAAAGAGAATGAGAGTATTAATTATAATGATTTTTCCCCAAGCAGGATAGTGGGCAAACCAGAAGCAAGAATCAACAATTTTCTAGATTCTGATTCTTCTCAAGGTAGTCCTGAATTAGCTCATGACTAGTTTATTGCCTAGAAACTTGAAAAATCATATTTTATGGATAAATCTGCACTATTAAAGCATCTTTCTCCCGATAAAAGTTCTCACCATAACAAGTCTAGAATTAATAAGTCAAGCATAGTTAATTACAGTAATTTCATGCCATAATAAGTAATGAGTGATCGGGATCTAAAGAGCAGTTAAAATAATAATATCAATAACTACAAAAGTAATGGCAGCACTATATTTCACAACCAAGGTATTAATGAAAGTTCCTTTAATAATCAAATCAACTAATCGATACTTTAGTTGAAAATCAAAAGATCTGGGACTCTGGGCAGTAGTGGTAACAATAAGCTGTTCCTCAAAGGAGTTGATAAGCTAATTAAAGAAAATCTTAAGAGGAACAAGACAAAGGAGCAAGAGGAAATCTCAAAGAGGTACATGGAGTAGTTCAAGCAAAAACTAAAGAAAGTTGAGTTAACTCAGAGAAACTAGCAAGTTAGGAAAATTAATGCCTCTAAGATTATGTACAATCATCAGCATAAAAACTCAATGATCCAGAACAAAATCAATATTACAAGAATAGGCTACAAAAAGCAAAGATCTAGAAGTTGCATGAACAAGACTGATAATATATTTGGTTAAGGAGCTGGAAATGGACCTAGATCAAGAGAAAGACTCCCTTAGAATAAGTTTGAATAGTTTCAACAGCCGCTAGAAATCAAAAAGGAGAAGAAAAGAGAAAAGAGTTTCGTATTAGAATTAAAAGAACTTTAAAAGCAGGTAGATGGAGAAATAAGAAGAGAAATTATGGAAGGAAAGATTGATATTCAACCCACATCTGCTAATAACAAAAAGTCTAATTTATCTACCATTAATGCGAAAAAAGAATAGGCTTAACAGAGGACAAGAAAGGATATCTTGAATATCAGCGCATTTGAGTAAGCCTTGCAAAATGCAAAGAGATCTAAGTAAGACCTTAATGGAGATGAAAGCAATAAGAATCTTTCTAAGCCGAGGCGTAAGAGTAAATCCAAGGAAGGAAATAAGAGCATCTCTCAAAACATTAAGAAATTTATGGAAAAGAAAAAGAATGCTCATCTTTAACTCAAAAGTTTGGAGCAGACCATTGAGAATTAAAAGAATAGTAAAATTAAGGAAAATCTAAAGAGCTTGCATCAGTTTGCAAAGCAGCACTTCAGACATCAAAGCTACAACTTTTATCCTAAGAAGAATAATGCTGGACTTATAAACATGCATAATCTTGAGTCAGATTCTAGTAAAGCTCTACCTTTGAAAAAATTAAAGCCCTAATTCTTTAAAACCAAATAGAAGAAAAAGAGTTCAGATAAAGTAAGCAAAAAAGTGTTTGATTTCAAGGGTGATACCATATTCGATCATGATTAGAAAGATCATATCGATGATGATTAATCAATTCATAGAGATGAAGCAGATATTTCTCAAGAGTTTTACGAAGACTACTAGAGAGTTATTAGATCCTAGAAAAATAAGAAAAGAAGATAAAATGCAGGTGATTAATCATCAAGCGCTGAACACTCTCCACTAAGAAACAAATCATCGTCTAAGAAGTAGAAGAGAATAAAACAAGTTTATCAAAGCTAACTATAAAATGAGCTGGAGTAATCTCTGATCCTGAATCAGAAGGCTAGATACAGTCAGAACGACAGTAATATTATTTCCATTGATCAGCAATAATATCAATCTATGAAAAATGATATTGCTCAGATGCCAAGCGTGGTTCAGGAAAAAGGAGCATCATTGATTCCTCCTTAGTCAGATATTGCTACCCTTGAAAGAAACCATATGGATAGAAGTTAAAATAGACACTTTGATAGTAATGAAAAGAGAAGATTTACTGATAATAGAAGAAGCCAGGATAGTGGAGTTGTTAATAGTAAGAGTCCGAAGTTAAGTGAACAAAAATAAAAAATGAGACTGCTTATGAGCAGATATGGACATAATCTATCTCATTCATAAATCAATGCCCCTCAGGCCGATAAAAAACTTCTTATCAAACTGCATTCAGCTGCAATTACTATCTAATAGCAAATAAGAGATTACCTATAAAGAAAGGGCTTTTACTATTTAGGATCTTCAAATTCCCAATCAAACATGTATATTGACTCAGAAGAGGATCAAAACAACTATAATTACGATTTGAGTGACTAGAAATCAATATAAAAGCAATTAGTAGCTTAGACTAGTCCATTAAGAGTAAAGTCTAAGTATCAATAGCAATAGTACTACTAAAAAGTACCTTAACATTTCGAAAACCAATAAAAGCAGAATAAATTCTACTCAGCTGACTCTAGTGATGTTGAGAAAGTTATTGTCTGTTCCGTAATCACAACTGGAAGAGCTGATAACGATGAAAGTTTGTAAAACACCCAAAAATACATACCTCTCAGATAAAAGAGTGTTGCTCCCATTCCTTAATAGAAGTCCTAACCTCAAGTAAAACCCTAACTATAATTTATTGCTTAGACTTAGCCCTAGTTGCACTAATAGCAATTTCAACAAAATTAATTCGAAAGACCTTAGCCTTAGGTCCCTAATAAAATATCATCTGCTTCCTCTTCAGCTTAAAGTGGTTTCAACACAGTCATTAAGACTCATCAAATTCCACTTTAACAGAGACTTTAGAGTGAGAGCTTGCATGAATCACTAGACATCTCTTAATAATCCTCCTCTAGCTAAAGAAAGAAGATAGTTCCATCTCTTGACTTTGGCAAATTGAAGCCTAAAGAAGAGTCAAAAGAGCAAGTTGCTCCAATTATACATAAGCAAGAAGAAGAATATAAAACAGAACAACCAGGAAGTAATACTGCAAGATCGATGTTTGAAAGGCATTCTTTCTAGGACTTTTCACAAAAGGTTCATAGCGGAGAGCCGTTTAACGTAAATAATTATCCTGAAATGCTCAAAATGAGAGAAGAAGCCATCAAGTACAAGGAGATTGAAGAGTAGAAGATACTTTAGAAGATGGTTAAGACTAAATAAATGTCACCTAGAACATATGATATAAAGAGAAAAGAGCTCGAATCATGGGTGAGTAAGGAAAAAGAAGAAGTTAAAAAGACCAAGAGGGTTTTCGAGGAATAGTGGTAAAAAACTACCTAGATAATAGAATAAACAAAAAAGAATCATGACTTGATGAAAAAAATGTTTAACGACAATCCGAGTACTTAATCAAATGCACACAATCATCATATTAATCAAATCTATAAAACAAACGATAGTATTCCTTCAGAGCACACTATGTAAAATATCTAATAGTCTCATAGACAAAGTTCCCGCAGAGATACTACTCATCTATTAGACATGATCGATGATTACCCCAAGCAAGATTCTACCATGAAACAAAAAGAAGATTTACAAATGGAATTACTCAAGAAGTAATATCAGGCTGAATAATAAAAAAAGGAGTAAGAACGACAGCGATAACTTGATGAGGAAAGGATTAAGAAAGAATAGGAACGAAAGAAGGATATGGATATGCTGAAGGAGCTAGAAAGGTAAAGAGAGGAAGAAAGATAAAAGCAATTGATTGAACAGGAAAGGAAGATCAAAGAAGAAAATGAGAGATAAAAAAAGGAAGCAGAGAGGAAAAGACTTATAGAGTTTGAAAAAGAAAAGGAAAGATTAAAGTTAGAGGAGGCTGAAAGATAAAGAAAACTTTTAGAGGAAAAAAAATAAAAAGAACTGTAAGAGAAGCTATTAGAGGAAAAAAGATAAAAAGAATTACAAGAGTAATAAAGAAAGGAAAGAGAAGAGTAATAGAGATTGAGAGATCTAGAAATTTAAAGAAAATAGGAGGAGGAAAAAAAATAAAGAGAAGCGCTAGCTTAAAAGAAATTGGAGGAAGAGCTAAAAAAGAAATAGGATGATGATGAAAGAATGAAAAGAGAATAAGAGGAATAAAAACGCAAAGCTGATTAAGAAGAAGCACTCCGCATTCAAAAATAAAAAGAATTAGATGCTTAGAAGAAAAAAGAACTAGAAGAATAGCAACGTAAAATAGAAGAGCAGGCCAGACTTAAAAAGGAAAAAGAGGAATAAGAAAAGTAAAGGCAGCTAGAGTTCATGAGAGAACTTGAGGAGATTGAAAAGGCCAAGAAAGCTTAGGCTGAAAAAGATAAAAAACTGAAGGAAGAGAGAGACAGAGAGATTGAAAGAGAAAAACTGGAAAGATAACGATAAGAAAGTGAAGAGAATGAAAGAATGATGTAGGAATTTAATGAGGAAAGTGATAGATATGCAGACTCTTCTGATAAAGATGATGCATTCCAAAGAAATTTCAACGACAGCTCTGATAATGAAATGTTTATGAACTAAAGGGAAAATAATCTTCTAGATGACATTCTACATGAGCCTAAAAGAGGAAAGGAGGTACTAGAATCTTAGGAGGATGAAAAAATATAAAACGAAACTAACCTTCATGACATTTCTCGCCATCATCATCATAGAAATACCGATGAGCTTCCTAGAGATGAAGAACCAAGAGGTCTGTCAAGGACGAGAAGTTCATAGTATTTGAACGAGAATAAATTTGAAGATGATATGAATGATATGCTCTAAGTATCGAGAGATAATTTACAGGAACTAGAATAGAGCGAAACTAGGGTATAAGACCAAACAAATCTCAATGATGAAAGCATGGATGAAGAGCTTTTAGCAGAATAATTGCTCAGGAATTAAGAATAAAAGAACCAAGCTCTAGGCAACTTAGTCCTGAATGACTCATTTTTTTCCAAAAACTTTGATGATTAAAGACCTGAGGATCTGATAAATCTTTTCCATAAGTAATTAGATGATGGCACCCTTGATCAAACTAATGAAATAAGCAAGACACTCATAAATACATCAGCCGAGAAAATCTTCGTCTAAGATGGTGGTGAAGAGACCAAAGATGAAAGTGGTGTTATTGAGCCTAAGTTTAAGTTTGACGATAAAAAGAATCAAAGGCTTTCTCAAGAGATGAGAAATTAAATACCAGTAGAAGAAGAGGAGCACATTAATCCAGGTATGCCAGTATCGCCTGTATCACAAGATGGCAATGACATTAGAATCTAGACTGGGGCTTAATCCCTTGAAAGTACTCTGTCTGATGGAAATGAATTTAGAAACGCTATTTAAGAGGCTTAAAAATAAGACGCTTAAGTGTCAGCTAGTGATTTTGATCAAAATGTAGAAAGGATAACTGATGACATTTTCAGGTAGCTTTTAGCTGAGATGAAAGTAGAACTAGATTTGCTGCTTCTTACAGATCCCAGAAGAATGCTCAGAGAGGAAGCGAATTCCAATTAATTCTTAAGTGAAAGTGGAAGGTTCCTAATATTTGAGAGAAGGGGAATAAAAACAGATCTATTTGCAATTGAGCACTATGTTGAAGAAGTTTTGGAGGAAATTTTAAGTAAGTCAAATTTTAATTACAAATTGATTTTATAGAGGATAGAGAAAGATTCAATCAGAGCATTTCCTAACCGATATCCAAGAATGCTAATGAAGTATTGAATCAGCTCCAAAACTCAGAGATCGGCAGCTATGAACACTTCGATGTCAATTACCCTTAGGTTTTGCCACTTGACTTATACCTGAAATTAGAAAAGCGAAGAAAAGAAAATAGGGAAATTTAAAATCCATAAGAAAACAACCAATCAAATGGAGATAGAAACAACTAAGACCGTAATTTCTTGGCTGAGTGTGAACACATTCACAATAAAGTCCTCTTTGACTGTATCAACGATTCTTTACTCTAATTCAAGTAAGTATCATCTTTTATTTTATTTATTATATTAGACCTTATGGAAGAGAGGGTATGCCATTACCGTGGAGTAGACAAAACAGAAGACTAAAACCAATAGAGGAGTTCACTACCGAGGAAATGTTTGAGATAGTTAAACATGATGTAAGTCATTACTCTATTTTTAAATTACATAGCTTTTCCGTTGGGCAATTATGCAAGCTGGCACCCTACCTCGAAGAGACTTTGTTTTTAACAATCTCTTCGATGATGAGTTATTCGCTGAGATTAGAGAGAAAAAGCTAGCTACTCTTCTAGCCAGAGAAATGATTGAAAATGAGCCGAAGTGGCTGAATTATGAATTTGAAGAGGCTCAAGTTAAAATAGACATTGGTGACATGATTCTAGAACAGCTAGTCACTGAAACCATCACTATACTCAGGTAAAACCAAGGACTGGCAGAATGATCTTCCAGCAGCAGTGTTGCAATTATTATAATTAATGAATGTTACTCTATATATTGCAGGTTATATCGATTGTTTAAATTTGGCTTATATATTATAATAAAATTGAAATAAATAAAAATCCATATTCCCTTGACTCACAACTTATTTTTATTAATGGGGTTTTGGGGTTTTGGGGTTTTGGGGTTTTGGGG